GAGAAGTGCATTTGATGCTGCTGCTAATGGACCGACAGATTTCTCTAGGACACACAGTCGGCGGTACAGTGATCCAGCCCAAAATGGTGATCTAAATGGCGGATCTGGCTCAAGCTCAAACAGTCGTCGCACGCCAACACGATTGCCCCCTGCCCCACCTTCATCTGGTAGATACTAGATGTATGGACATGAAAGTAGATGGAGTTTGTGATGACTGATATTATGATTCGTGCAATTCTTGTTGGGGTGGGTGTTTTTATCTTGCTCCCTGATGTTGAGCATTTCTTCTGCTCTCCTTACATGTTATAATAGTTTTGTAGATTGGGAGAAAAAAGAATAGGTGATTCTTGTAGATAGATATTGGGCGGTGCTTCCTTTTTATCATTGATGACTGAATTTTGAGATGTATTAAATTTTCCTTCCTTACCTTTTCTTGGGGAAATGATGTCTTTGCACAATGATTGTAAGCTTCTTTGCGCGAGATTTAAGAAATTACAATTATAACAATTTCTTCATTTTAAATTGTCGATCGGGGGTTTATGCAGGGATTTAATTGCTTAATTGCCTATGCGAGAGAAATAAGCAGTACTATCCCAGTTTGGCGTCATCACTGTACCACCAATCCACTATCATTACTGCAATGCCATCATACACCAACCCAATGCTCCTGCTACAAATCGATCACCACTCATCGCCTCTGTATCACCTTCAACGGACACCCATCCCATCATCAGTGGATGTCACAAGTGATGCCCTGCCACGAGCCACCAGGAAACTTTCATCAATCCCATGACATCTATTAGCCTTTTTCCACATCCACAGCAGATGGCTGACCCATTGCCCGCAGCATTAACACAGCAGATTAATAAAAAAAAAAACCAAAAAAAATTGATCAAGCATGATAAGAAGGGGACTCCTTTGACACTAGGTCAACAGATTGAGACATACTTGTTTGCAATGTTTGATGAGGATCTAAAACCTGGGGATGAAACGGAGCGTTTTTACGGGCTTTTTACACCCGATCAACAGCCTAAGTATGGCATACTCGACATTTGTTGATCGATTGTAATAAAAAAAATCGAACAAAATTGGAGAAAGGAGACCGAAATGACAGAGAAGAGAATTAGAGTGTGCACCTTGTGCTACTAGAGGAGGTAGGTTTGGTGGAGTCGTTTTCCCAAACTAAGCCATATTTGCTAAATATTTACGAAAATGGTTGCGTGGAAAAAGTATTTACCAAACTAAGCTTCCAGCGTAAAATGCTGTCTCGGATAGCGTTTTATGCCCTGTTTTTTTTTTTGAAAAAAATAAATTCAACTTGTAATTACCAGGTTTTTAGTTATTGACTTTTTTTAAAAAAAATTGTAATTACCAGGTTTTACAAAGAGTACTAAAACGCTGTTTGAGACTGCGTTTGTTGTTGTTAATGCAACGTTGTCTCAGACAACGTTTCTTTCGTTTATATTTTTTTTGCCGTAAAACAAACAGCGTTTGTTCCTCCCTCCTTCATTCCCAAACTTCTTCATTCCCAAACTCCCCTTAACTTAATCCCTCTCTCTCTCCAAGATACTTGTGCTCCTCCCTTCACGCCGCCGCCGCCGCCACCACCTCCACCGTCACACTCCGACGACCAGACGCCGGAAGCCCAGTAAACCTAGCCTCCCTTCACCCCGAAATTGGTATGTACTCAATCTCTCTTTGTTTTTTAAATTCTAGGGATTATGTTGGCGGTTTCTAATTTTTTTTGGAATTGTGGTTAAAATCTTGATAATGTTGAGTTGTTAGTGTTAATAATGTTGAATTGTTAGTGTTGGTATTGTTGAATTGTGAGTGTTGGTATTGTTGAATTGTTAGTGTTGGTAATTGTTGAATTGTTAGTGTTGATATTGGTAGTGTTGATATTGTTAGTATTGATAATAGTTTGGATAATGTTAAATTGTTGTTGTTGGTTATGTTGAAAATTGTTGATAATGGTTGATAAATATTAGTTTTTGAACAATTGTCATAACCTATATTGTTGTGTAATAATGGTGATTTAGGGGTTCTTAGTAGTTATTTTGTAAAGTATGTAAACATTTTTTGTTTGATTGTGGTAATTTAGGGATGGTTTAACGTCTTTAAGTAAAATATGTTTTGGTTGTTATGTAGAATATGGTTGGACAAAATGTAGTGTTGTTATGCCGGTGGGGGGGGTGAAATTCTGTGCGATGGATCAACTGTTGAGTATAGTGGAGGAAATATGGAACCACTAACACTGGAACCGAACACTGGAACCACACATTACCATCAAGCATATGACGTCATTAACGGATATGTGAGTTTCTTTTATTCTACTTATCGTCCTCATTTTTTATTTTTTTATACATCATGTAACTGATTGATCGATGATTACTGCAGGCGGCGGATATGGTGGGGATGTTTGATGCACTGTCACTTGCCCTTGCAGACGGACCCACCAGAGCCCAGGTCGAGCGGATGCGAGATATGTCCGTGACTTCCTTATAGAGACATGGTCACAGTTATCTCGTCCACCAGCGGGACGATCAAGATGGCCACTCCTTCCATTCACAGTTCGACCCCGGCCAGAGTAGCGATGGAGGTGATTATACGACACCCACAGACGCAGAGGAGTACATCATCCACAGTACTGCACCCACCGGGACCCAGGAGGACACATCGTCCAGCCAGCTCACTCCCCCACCGCCCCGAGACCCATTCACCACCATTTCTCATTACAGTCGGCGTCGTAGACGAACGGACGACAGTCAGGCTAGGGAACCTTTAGGCCCAATTAATGAGTCGGGATAGTATTGTATGATTTATTTGTTGTAGACAAACATTTTCTAGAGTGATGTATATAACGATTACATTATTAATATAATACATGTTTGTTGAATGAATCTGTGTGCAGTTTGAAGTTTAGTTTCCTTATTTATCCAAATCGGACTTATGTCAGTCAAAATAGATTCTTCTAGGCCAATATATATCAAACAACAGACATTTGGGATCCATAATCAGAAACGGGGTAGAAGCGATGGCCCGTGGTGGTTAATGTGGTGGTTCAAGGTGGTTTTAGTGCGGTTGGTTGTGGTGGGTGGTGGTCGACGGTGGAGGAAAGGTTGGGGCTGGTGGTGGAGGTGGTTGAAGTGTTGTTGGGGGTAGTTGGACTATTTTGAAGTGCATAATGGTGGTCGAAAGTGGCGGAAGGTGGTGGTCGACGGTGGGGGTTGGTGGTGGGAGTGGTGGTTGACTGTGGTGGCTTAATCAAGGCAGGGGTAGTGTGCTGAGGCAGAAATTAGAGAACAAGGGCTGCTGGCTGTTGGTGCTGCAGACCAGCAGAGAAACGCTGTCCCAGACAGCGTTTTATGTTGTACATATTAATTTATTTTTTTTCTTTTTATTTTTAAAAAACAGAAATTACAAATTTTTTTTTAAAAAAGTCAACAACTAAAAACGTTGTCTTTTAGGTTGAATTTTTTTTTAAAAAAAACCAGGGCATAAAATGCTGTACGAGACAGCGTTTTACCGTGGAAACTTAGTTTGGTAAATACTTTTGCCACGCAACCATTTTGGTATTTATTTTGTCAACTGGGCTTAGTTTGGAGAAAAATCCGGAGTTCTGGGTAAATATTATTTAGACGGTGGCACAAATTTTTTATTTGAAAAGATGTTCCAAGGTTGGAGAGCATAGGAGTATTATACTATTGATTCTTAAACAACTTCAGGATGAATTTATTTCAAAAAACCGTCTCTTTCTAGTTGCACTTTTGTCGATCCATTATTGTATCAAAAATTTTTGAAAACAATTATTCGGGCATTGAGTTTTTCAGTTCACTCTGGTTGGATATTCGTTCAATTTGATTTGAAATTTTGCTAAAATATAAAGCCACTAAAAGTTTTAAGGTTAAAGTTCTACATTTATCCATAAATAAAAAGGGTCTAATAACAAGTTTACATTACATTTCATGACCTTAAATTCTTAAAAAAAATATTTATCCATAGTAGGATTCATATTATAATTAGTAATTGGACAAGTCCATAACACAATTCCTTCATTTAACTCATCCAATCCCATATCTCATAATCAATACAATCAATATCTACAAACCACAATGAGATTATTTTAATATTCTCTCTATTCCTAATTGATTGACACATTTAAACTTGAAACACAAGTCAATTCACTAGTTAAAATAAAAAAAATAAAAAATAATTTGATATTACTCCCTTCGTCCCCTTTTGTTTGTCACTTTTGCCATTTTGGGTGCTCCTAAATGTTTGTCACATTTCATATTTTCATAATTATTAAGATACATAAAAAGACTTTTATACCCTTATTTTTTTTGTCCTTATTAAGTCCTCTTCCTATTTTACCGTAACATTTGGCATTTGACTAATTTAATGTTTTACACTCTTGAATCCCTCAATTTCTTTTTCCCATGTACTATTATTATTTTTTTAATTGAAAGTGTCTCTTTCCCATGCACTTTTATTACTTTATTAGATGGGAATTTCACTTACCCAAATACTTTCATTACTTCACATTCTCCACCTTAATCCCGTGATTTTCCTTCAAAAGTGACAAACAAAAGGGGACGGAGGGAGTATGAAACTTTATATTAATATCTATTTAACAATATATTTCATGATAAAATTTATTTATTGTATATTATTAAAAAAAACCATAGTTAAAACAATTATATGAATAGTTAAAAAAAAGTCAAACGTGTCACTTATTTAGAAACAGGGAGAGTAAGAACTTCATGAGTAATTATTATTCATACTCCCTCCGTTTTTTTTATAGGCTAGATATGAAATTGCACGGAGTTTTAGGTGGTTTAATAAAATAAGATGTTAGTGGGTTATATAAGGTTATTATTTTATTGAAAAATAAAGTGGTGTGAGAGGGAGTGAGTTTTATTTTATTGAAAAGTAAAGTGGTATGAAAGGGAGTGGGGACCATTGAAAAAGTGAGAAATGATACAATTAAAAAAAGTGAGGACATTAGTGGGTAAATATATATTACTAAATTATAAGAGATTTCCAAAAATGGAACTTTAGCTTATAAAAAAAAAATGGACGAAAATTATAACTCTAACTTATAAAAAAAGCAGAGAGAGTAATACATCTATACATCCTACACATCCTGAACATGAACAGGTTGTGGACCGTGGTAGTAGATTCTTTTAGCAATGTACATACCCTAAAGAATAGGTTTCATGGTACGTAAAGGTATTCATTTTTTGTAATTTACAACCTTCTCTTTTCTGCATATCTGCGCATAGTAGTTCTCTGAACTCAGCTGTATCCTGTCCCCACAATGAATCTAAAGGAGAAGCGCGAATTTATTCTTCAATGTCCCATTTTATATCATCTTTGAAGGGCCCCGATTCACGCAATACCTTCATCACAAGCATCATCTGAGGAATAATCAACAGATCATTAACCCAGAATAAAAATAAGAAGATTTCGTTTTGTTTTGTTGTGGCCATCAATTCTTGTATCTAATAACATAACACAATTACTACATCTGTTTCATAACAATCGTAATAGTTTAACTTTTGCATCATATATATATATATATACAAAAAAAAAAAAAAATGTTAGCATGCAATTTTTTTTTTTTTTTTTTTTTTTAAGTCTGTAGGTATATTTTCATTATGCCAACCTTCTATAATTCTTACTATTATATAATTACAAGTATAAATGGTCAAAGTTATACACTGACTTGTCAGTCAAAATGTTGCGATTATTATGAAATGGAGAAAATATCGTTTAAAACCATCAACCCACATTTAGAGGTGTCAAAACCGAATCGATCCGAATAAAACCATCCGTTTTAAACTGTAACCAATCCAATTTGATCAGAGAAACTCAAGACCCAAACCCGATCTGTAACCACCCATATTCGAATTAGACCCGAGTTGAACTTAACTCGGCACCGATTTAACCTGACTTGAATTCAACCCGAAATCGATTTGACTTGACTTGAACTCAAATCGAAACGATTTGACCCGACCTGAACTCAATCCGAACCGAAAAAATCGACCCGACAAACACCCGATTCAATCCGATTTGTTTTTTATCCGAACTGATATTAACCCGACCCGATATTGAGAAAATACAAGTTTATCTTCATGTTAAACAAAAAAGTGTTTATCTCGTGGCATTTTTGTAAATAAGTCGACAACTATTATTAAATGCAGGTTTCACAAATGTTGATTTATTTGCAAAAAAGCCAAGCTGATTGATATGTTTTGTTGACTTATTTACGAAAATGCCACTAGATAAACGATTTTTGTTTATCATGAAGATAAACTGGGGCTCCCTTCCCGATTTTAACCCGACCTGATTTTGACTTGACATGATTTCAAACTAACCATAATTTTAAACTTAACTTATTATTTACCTTTATTTATTTATTTTTAATTAAACATATATTAATGACATGATATGAAAAAATGACACAAGAATAACTTAATATCGACCCAATAACAAGATAAAAAACTCAATAATTACTATAGTTTTAAAAATGTACTTATTTGAATATTAAATTTGGTCAACCAGCCAAAATCCAGTCAAACACGAAAAGTATCTGAACCAAAATTAATCGAATACTTTTTAACTTTACTAATCAAACCAAACTTAACAAAACCGAAATCAACCGCATCGGAACCAATCCGATCCAAAGTCATCCGACCCGAAATTAACCAGGTCAAACCCATTTTGAACCTGATCGGATTTTATCCGAACAAAATATGGACCGATCTAAAATTGACCTGAACCAAACCCAATTTGAACTCGAGAGATCTTGACCCAAATTTGACCCGACCCGAAAGTGGCCCGGTCCAACCCAAAGCGGGTTTAAAGGGTAATTTTGAATCAAACATATCCGACTCGAACAGATCCAACCCGAATAGACCCGACCCAAACTCTATCCGCTTATCCGAATTGACACCTTTACCCACATTTACCTCTCTACAATTTTATTCTAAGTCTCTTTACTAAGGGGCATTTGGTTCAACTCATTCTTACCTCATACTCCCTCAGTCTTCTTTTTTTGGCACCATGGACCCACTTTATGTGAGAGAATATTAGTCAAATGGGACAATAAAAGAGGGATGGAGGGACTGCTTCATACCAAATACACCCTAAAAGTACTTGGTAAGCAACGGATTACAAAACCCTTCACCCAATCAAGAGTCCTCATAGGCAAGTTAATTGAATAAATTTGGTGCAAATCTACGAGTCAACTATAGTAGACTTTTTTCCTCAAAAATACCATAGTAGACTTCTCTAATATTCTCATGGCCAAATTTTCTAAAGGAATACTGGGTACATTTTTTTTCAACCCTAGTTATTGTGGATAGTTTTAAAAGACAACTCCCATATTAACATTATTTTAAATTCTAACTACTTTTTTGGAGAAGTTACCACCAATAAATCCTGTAAGAAAATACAGAATCTATGTACACTCGTATCCTCCAAAAGCAACACGATACCTTATTTGTTTGGATTGAGAAAATTGGAAGGAAGTGAAGAGAAAAGAAGGGATTTATCCACCCTTATCTGGGTACCATTTGGTGGGAGGGAAGGGAAGGAAAATGGAAGGATTCATTTTTCCTCCCTCTTTAATAAACTAAATCCTTCCAATGTTGAAAAGATAAGAAGAGAAAAGGTAACCTTGTGTTCTCCCTTATCCCTGCCTTCCTTTCCTCCCCCTTTCATCTTCTTCCCTCCCTTCCCTTTCCCTTCCACTTTGCCATCCAAACCAGTGGCAGGGTAATTGGAAGAATATGACCATCCATGGGCTTAATCATGGTTAAAAAAAAAAAAAAAAAGATAGGTAATGATATAGGCTGAGAATAAATGATGCAAGAGTAGCTTTCACATCCAATTCAAACTCCGAGGAACACTTTATTAATTCGCTAACAAAAATGAACTGGTGAAAACTTAAGTCGAGATAATTACATTAAATGTAATAGTACCTGATCTGTTTCCCGCACAAGAAAATCTTTTATAGCTTTCCGAAACTCATCGTCAACAATGTAATGGCAGCTGTAAGTTGTTACAGGTAGGTATCCCCGCTGGATTTTGTGCTCACCCTGAGCTCCTGCTTCCACCTTGTCCAAATTGAATTCAATAGCAGCTTCTATTGCCTACAATACCAATAAGGTTATGGACAGACTAATTTTAATTACTGAACAAAATGATAGCAACATTTTCAATAAGGCAAAAAAAAGTATACATCCAATGGTGGCTTAATAAAAAGCAGCTAAACAATTTATTAGCTTAATATCTGAACAGTCTATCAAGCCAATGTAATCAGCCATTGATTGTACAAGTTCAGTTTCAAGATTTACGGCTTCAAGATTTTCTAATGTATTCCTGCTATTGATCCCTATTACAGTAACTAAATCAAATCAAATTTCTTTTCCAACCGTCCCAGATTATTTTTTACACTTCAAATTATTTTTAAAAAAGTCCCAACATCATTGTGATGAACCTGGTTGGTGGGTTGGGCGGGCCACCAAATCAGCCACCTATGCAAGTTTACACTCAAAGGAGGAGGCACCTTGAGATACAAGACAAAAAGGAGAAGCAGCCAGCACTAAGTGACAAAGTAGTTTAATGAAGCACTATGGCACTATGGGGAGTGACTACACAAAATGGCAGAACTGATTCTGTGTCGCCAGTTGTAGGATTGCTTTTGAGTAGAATGTTTGTAATATTAAAATGATAGGGAATTTTAGTAGGAGGTTATGTAAATTTTGATGAGAAAACTTTGAGAGAGAGTTGTAGCCTAAAGCTTATTGGAGATTGATAGCCTAAAGCTATCCACCATTTGTATCCCCTGTTTCATTGCAATTCCAGAAAATCAAGCTACAAGTATTTTAATAAAATAAGTTAAGGTTCCACACTCTCTCCACATTCTAAGAAAAAATCCTCACTATTGACTTTGTGTGCTGTGCATAAATTCATTTTCCACAAATTATATGTTCTGCAATGATGTAAAGTCTATAAAAGAAACAAATGATGAATGTCATTGGATTAACAAGGTTCATGGAGATGTAATTCAAATTAAGCATTTCATCAAATGAAAATACAATAAGTTGCTTCTTTGATGTTACTTGCTGGTGACACACTTTGCTTCGGTTGGTTAGTGACAATGTGACACGTAAAGTTTAGCTTCCTAGATACTTTTTTAGTCTTAAAGCTATTATGAGTGATGAACATATATTATATAACAAAGATGATAATGAAAAGTCTAGGTTACGATTCCAGTGGAGGAGGTAGATAAAACCCGTGGGATTAATGTATTTTACATTCTTTCAAGCACTCTTCATTCAATTATGATGATGAGAGATGTCGATACTAAAAAAAATCACAACTTCATTGTTGGGGAAATGGGTGATTAAAAAGGTCATGGGCGCATCCCGTTACTATTATATCTTAATTCCTTCTACAATGTGGTGCACGGGCGCATCACATTACTATTATTTCTTGTATGGGGCACAAAGAGCTAGCATAACTCTAGTTAGCAAGAGGAAAAAAGTAATAAACCTCTTCATTGTTTAGCTCACTTGTTTAACCAAGGCAAACTCATGTTACGTCTTTACTAATACATGCCCTCATTTTGTATCTATATTTGTATTGTCTAAAGAATCATTCACATATAGATGATCCTGTGGCTTTAGAAAGTTTATACTGATTGATGGTTCATAAGACTTCTTTAGAGTCTCAAAATGATTAAAATTCTTATAAAAGAAATGCTTACTCAACTAGCTTAGTTTGGGATGAATTTGGTGAAATGTCTAGATCCCCAGGAAAGTTCAGGTAACTATAGTACTCCTTTGCTTCAACCATGGTCCTTCAAAGTATTGGGTAAACCAATTACCTCTTTTTGTTATGAGAAAAATTGGAGTATTTATTTTTTGATTCAATTACTTGGATGAAACAAATTATTTCATGGGTAGAGGATTAGATTGATCCAGAATTTTGTTGGAAACATGATAAGACTAATATTTGGGATGTCGTGGTAAATTTAGTAATGTGAAAAAGATTGAAATTTACAAAAAAAATGGTATTGTTGTTTGTTGTCATTTTTATTGTTTACTTGTGGACTATTCTTGTGTAAGACATTTTTAGTTTTCGACAAGAATTTTTTGGTTTATTATCCGTTATTTTAATAGGTCAAAATTTCCCTATTTATGTTAATATATTTGTGCTACATACTTCATCTTCTTTAATTTACTCCTTAAATTGCATGCCATGGGACTATAGGTCAAGTAAATAGAAACGGAGGAAGTAGATACCAACGAATTATGCAACCATTAACTCTTGGCGACAAAAATGCCTGGTCAAAAGATTCTTCACTATCAGGATTATCAGGTTTTAAAAACTTGACAAAAGGATGCACCACAAGTGCATTGCCAGAATACTAATAACTAAGTGAATGACACAGTGATTGTACTATTAGAAAAGAGCCAAGGCAAACTGAAGAGTCAACATTATACTACAAGTATGATAAATTGATTACAGGCTTACAATGGAATAAGTATAACATTAACAAGGAACATGGGTGGACTAAAACACAAGGATTCAACGAGGAAGAAATAGATGAGCAGAAAGAAAAAAAAAGGATTTGGAACCGTCCTTAGAGGCTATGTAATAACAGAACAAATTTCAGTAGCACAAGTAGAAAACGGAGGCATACTCCCCATTAAGAGTAAAAATTAAAAATGACTCGGAAAAGGGTGGCATACTCCCCATTAAGAGTAAAAATTGGAAATGACTCAGAAAAGGTTAGCATACTCCCCATCAACAACAAATCCTAATGTTTGTACAACTAACAAATGTTTAAGAAAGTAGTAACAGACATAGATAGTACAATAAAAATTCTTAAATTAACATATGTCATTCCTGTAATAGTCTCTTCAATGCTAATGCACTGATTGGAAGGAGCTGGATGGTAAAAAAAAATTCATGCAAAGACTCAGAATCACTATATCACATTATGTCCCAACCTTTGACAAAAGTTTGAACTTCGATATGGAAAAAAAAAAATGCAACCTACAGGATCAATTTCGAAGGCATATATCACATATTCACATGCCAAATTAGGTTAAGCAAACCTGGTAGTAACATGCTTCGAAATGCAAACTTGGATAATAAGATTCTGGAAGACAACCCCATAGGCGTCCATATATGGTATCACCACCAATAAGATTGAGAGCCCCAGCAACAAGTTCATTCTGTTCTTCAGCGATAACTAGAAGTACTTGATCTCCCATCTTTGATGCCATGTTGTGAAAAAAATCCCTCGTCAAGTAAGGAGTACCCCACCTACATATTAAGAGTAGCATAAAGATGACTTTTCTCCTTATTTGAAGTGCAATATTAAATGACTTAAAAGTTAAACCTGTACAAAATTATTTTAAATAGAAAATCAATTCCCGTAGGAAAAATGCAAGGCCATGAACTCTACTTGTTGTCAGTAGTATTCTTGTAGAATTGATAGAAGGTGTCCCAGTGTTTTGCCTGAAAAATGCAGATTTAAAATTAGATAAAGTAACTTAAAGCAACCAGCAATAACAGCAAAGGAGAATATATTAGTTAATGCATGCATGGCATGATAAAACTTAAATGCTACCACAATAGTTGCATTGAGTGTCCTAGTTTTCTGGAAAACTAACACTTATCTCCGTTCATTGACAGAATAAAGCCACAGTAAGGATTCATGAAGTAGGAAAAAAAAAAAAAGTCATTAGGTTCCACCATGATGATGTTTTCAGCTTTTGGAACCTGTATGAAGAGCCAAAATAAAAAATAAAAATCTACTGAAGAGGACAAACAGAGACAAATAGTGGCTGAAAGTTCCATGCTTCAAAGGCTTTTTTGACCTCACTCAATTTGCACCCAAGTGAAATTTTTTCTAAGAGACCACCCATCCTAAGGCCAAGTTATGCATGCTTAAACCAACAACGAAAAATGAAGATTATCAGCACAAGGGTTCCCAAAGTAGTAATTGTTTATTGATACATACACTGCCATCAAAACCTTTAAGCTAAATGTGTCCATAACCCTGAGTATCATATACATCCAAGATAAATTAAAATTTTCATAATATACTCGGCTGTATCCATGCACTTAGCCCACACTCATTTTTTTGATCAATTGCTCAAATGAAGACCTCCAAGTGAGCTACAAAGTAGCTTTGGGTGAACAAAACATCCGGGTCTATATAGAAATGGCAAAATTGGCCGCAACACTTTGAATTATGGCTTAGGTGCACTGAGCACCCTGAACTTTGCGTAGTAGCCAAGACACCACCAACTATGGTGTTAGGTGTGACGTGTGCCTTAAATGAAAATTTACAACCACTTATTTCACCGGAGAAGTTGAATCTTCACTCTCCAAAACAATTATACAGTCTTCCATCCACTTGGCACGTGTGGATTCAAATCCTCTAGTGAAATTATTGGCCAGAAATTTTCATTTAAGGCACGCATCGCACCTAACACCTACAACGGACAGCGTTCTAAGAGACTAAGGAAGATAATGTAACACAAGAAAATGGAAGAGGATACAAGATAGGTTAATGACTTTAGGCCATTAGTCTCTAAGAGTTTCCAACACAACTTTCTGAATACCTTCCCACTCAAATGCTACTACTACTTATACTACTCATCCTACTCACATGACTTGGCAAGTGCCTTAATTACAACCATCACTACTTTTATTCCTCTTCCTAAAAGCAACTAAAGCAATAACAAAAGTAAGCTAATAAGCCAAAGTGGCAGGCTGCAGCTCAAGGTTTGCTTGTACCTATGCTTGTGGGTGTTGCGGGTTGGTGGTGTCTCCTTGTGCCTACTGAACCTGACCTTGTCCCCTCTGCCTCCTGCTGTACGTGTACCATATGAGTGGTGTAGGAGGGTTCATTGCAATACTGCCCCCCAAAAGACCCACCTTGTCCTCAAGGTGGAAGTCGCGAAACCGCGTCTTGATCCAATGACACTCTTCCCAAGTAGCCTCACATGCAGGAAGTCCCTTCCACTTTAGCCTCAAATGCAGGGAGTCACTAGGACCTCATGTGTCCTCCCCTTTAGCCCATCTAATCGTGCAGCTAGAATTTCCTCGGGTTCCACCACCAATTCCAAATCTGGTGTGATTTGGGTGGGTATGGTTGGCGAGCTGCTCCTGTCCCCCATTGCCCGCCTTAGCTTGGAGATGTGGAACACTGGGTGCACTCGGTAGTCGTTGGGAAGCCGCAACTTGTAAGCCACCTTGCCCACGTGTTGTATGACTTCGAACGGCCCATAAAAGCGCGCAACTAGCTTCTCAAAGGGCCACCTTGCCAGTGATCGCTGCCAGTAGGGCTGCAATTTAAGGAACACGAAATCCCTAACTTGGATTCTGCGTCTCTTCTCTTGCGATCCGCTTGATCCTTCATGATTTGCTAGGCCCTTAGCAGATTTAATTTCAATTCCTCGAGCATATAATCACGTTCTTGTAGCTTCTCCTCCAGGCTTCCCACCACCACAGTTGGAATCGCACCAATCTTCAATAGCCTTGGAGGATCCCTCCCATATACTACTTTGAACGGAGACATCCCCGCGCGAAACATCGGAGGTAAGTCTCCAATGACTTGTTCACGAGCTCAGTTTGGCCATCAGTTTGTGGGTGGTACACGGTGCTTCGCCAGAGATCTGTGCCCCAAATACAGAATAATTCTCGCCAGAAAATACTCAAAAATACCCAATCTCTATCCGAAATTATGCTACTTGGGAACCCATGAAGCCGGGCCACCTCTCTTACAAATGCCTCTGCCATCGTTGACACTGAGAACGGGTGTTCCAATCTTATAAAGTGCGCGTATTTTGACAGGCGATCCACGACCACAAAAATCACATCCACCCCTTTCGACTTCGGCACACCTGCTCCGGTGGCGGCTGTGGTTGTAATAGCCTCGCCGGTTGTTGGTGGGAGAGTTTGTTGCGTTGACAGACTTCGCAACCTTGGACATACTCCGATACATCATTCCTTGCCAAAACCACTCTCTAGCTAACCGCAAATAAGTCTTAGTTTCACCGGCGTGCCCTCCCTCCGGTGAGTCGTGGTAGACCTTGAGGAGGTTCCCTTGTGACTCGAATTCTTTGGTATTACCACCCGCCCTTTATGCAACAACTTGTTCAGCTCCACCGTGTACCCCACAATAACCTCTCCCTCAATAATACTCTGTTGGTTAGCATCGATTTCTTGTTCCAGCTCTCCCTAATCCACCTATTGCTTCGTAATTAACGAACCCAATTCTGATTCCTCTCTCTCTTTCCTGGACAAGGCATCGACAACCTTATTCGAGGCTCCCGGTTTATATTATATCTCAAATTCGAACCCAATCAACTTCCTAATCCACCGTTGATACTCCATCCCCACTTCCCTGTGTTGAGTAATAAATCGAAGGTTTTGTTGGTCGCTCTGGACTACAAATTTCCGGCCAAGGAGGTAATGCTTCCACTTTTGCACCGATAAGGAAACCGCCATCAATTCCCCTTCCCACCGAGCCTAGCACCTTCCTAAAGAAAGCAATTGGTCTCCCTTCTTGCATGAGCATTGCCCCCAACCCAAATCCCGAGGCATCGGCCTTCACGATGAACAATTTTTGGAAGTCCAGCATCGCTAGTACTGGGGCGATGGTCATTGCTTGCTTGAGATTTTCGAATGCCATTGTCGCCTCCTCTCCCCAATTAAAGTTATCCTTTTTAAGCTGCTTGTTAGAGGGTGAGCTATACGCCCGGCCTTAGAGATCAAGCTTCGAAAAAATCCTTGATCCTCCCAACTCATCCAACAACTCATCAATGACGGGAATTTGGTATTTATCGGGAACAGTTTCTTTGTTCAATGCCCGATAATCAACACAAAAGCGCCACGATCCATCCTTCTTCTTAACAAGTAGAACTAGCGAGAAAGAGGACTAGTGGATGGCCGGATTATTCCCGCCTCAAGCATCTCTCGAATCAACTTCTCTATCTCGTCTTTTTGAAATTGGGAGTATCTATAAGGCCAGACACTAATCCGGTTGCTCCCCTCCTTAAGCACGATGGCATGCTCATGCCCTCGGGATGGTGGCAAGCCGGCTGGTGCTTCGAAAACAGAGGGAAATTTGGCTAACACTGATTGCAAATAGGCTGGGGTATCGTCTTCACTACACATGACCCCTTCTAATTTCCCGAACTCCACTAAAATTCCCACTTTTTCCTTCTGCAAATTTCTTATCATAGCCTTAAGAGTCATACTTCTGGTTGTTGCAGCCAATTTTTCCTTTAAAAATTTGCTTCTATAGATCCATATGTGATGTTCTAATAGCACTACGAAACTGTTTTAATACCGTATGCAAAACCCTAACCACCTTCAAGGCTACGAAACCATTACTACCAAAAGAATCATTCCCAAAGGCTCAACAATTACAAATTGTTTTAATATTGTATGCAAAACCCTAACCACCTTCAAGGCTACAATTAGTTATTAGAAATTGCAACAGAACTAAAGACTATTTCACATATCAATTCGTCCAGCCCACTTTATCATCTATCATACAAACATTATCAAACTTCCTTAGAGGCCAAGTCAATCATGCTTATATATGAAATACTTAAAACATATTAAGTTTCCTGATAGAATGCAGCTTGTTGGTATAGCTTAGTTTATTAAAAATTCTTGTAAAGACAATTTACCTCTAATTGGGATGTTACATTAAAAGTCATAATAAAGCTTAATGGTACAAATTCTGATTTAGGCTTTGTTCTCTCCAACTTATTATTATTACTTGTTCATGTTTAAAACAGACTAGATCAAAAAAATTTAGACCACGCCACATCAAATTCTCTTAATTCCGTTTGCTTATTGTGATATATCTTTAACACTATATTTGTAAAAATTGTTATAGTAGATAATACACATTGAGACATTTAACGAGATCCTACTTGATTTTATGTTTCTCATACATTAATATACAATTAAGGTAAAAGTTTAGTCAAATTAGACAATCAGCTCATACCAGACCTTAATTAACTTCATATTGCAGTCATTTTTATCACAAATCATACTTCCTCCGTCTTTTTTTTAATCGCACCATTTGGGTTGGGCACAAATATTAAAAAAGGAATTAAGTAACAAAAATGCCCCTTTGCCTACAGACTAATGAAAGAGTATAAAAGTGAGGTAGCAAGGTAAATTTTTAAGTAGGTAAGGGTAAGATGAGTATTTGGTGTGCAAACACAAATAAAAAGTGTATAAAAATATACCTAAAAAGGAAATGATGCAATTAATATGCAACTTCCTAAAAAGGAATTAAGTGCAATTAAAAAAAATGGAGGAAATATTATTTTTAGGTTAGTGACCGATTTTAATCCCATTCGAAACCTTAAGGTAAGGTATCATGTAAACTGGGGTTTTCTTCAATTTAAAGTTATAGACATGATTTTGGGGTAAAAATGGAGTAAAAACAAGGAGGTGGAAGGTATAAAGCTCATATCGCATTATAAATTACGTTTTTTGAGTTTTGGGTTTACATTCATCATATGGGGGTTTTTGGATCTCCTTATAATTGAAAATCAAGCAAAAAGGGAGGGAAAAGAAAAGAAAAAAAACACAGTGAGTGATGAGTGTCATTTATGGCACTCAAATGGTAGTATTTTAGGATGTTTTTGCTTTCTTTTTATAGCTTTCTTTCCCTTTATTTGTTTAGTTTGTTTATTTATTCCTTAGTTTCTCTATTTTTTGCTTATTTTGTGTTTTCGTCCCCTTTGTGGATTTTCTCGTGTTTTTCCCTTTTATTTGTTCTTTTCTCTATTTGTAGGAGTAAGGTGAAGCTTGAGACCCGTCATGATTTTCCGGGTTGGAAGAGGCTTAAGGTGCAAGGTGAAAGCTTATGTATAGCTCAAGGCAAGAGATGGCTAGTTCTAAGACTTGGTGTTTGCACTCTCATGCTGTGCTATCATAAAATCACGATGTTACCCACCGTAAACTCCATTTCGAAACTGCCATGCTTAGTGACGATCATGAGGAGCGCATCATCCACATCATGCACGCACCGAAGAGGTGCCTTGCTCCAGGTGCGCACAATAGATGCGTGGGCGCGGAGGACAGCCGCGCGAGCGCGCATCCTTTCTTCGCGGGCGTGCCACCTGATCTCTGCTTCGTACCCAGATTTTTGCGGGCACGCATGCTCGTGAGAGGGCGCGCCCGACTGGGTTTAATTCAGGATATTAGTTATACTATAAATAATTTTTTCCTCTTATTTTTCATTTTAACACTTGATTAAGCAATTTTAGAATTCAGTTTTTAGAGAGAGATTAGAAAGAGAAACTAGAGAGAGAATTTGTTGATTACAACTTTGATCTTCATTTCAATTCAATTCAAGCACAATTTCCTTTGATCAATCAAGTTTGTGAGATTCTTCTACTTCTTATTTCAATTCCTTTGCACTTTAATTTTGTTGATTGATGCAATTTCAAGTTACTTTGATTGTTTGATCTTGATTAATTTAATTGATTTAGCATTGATTTCAATTGCAATTATGATGATGTTGATGATGATTAGCTTAGCCTTCTCCCTTCAATCCAATATGCTTAGTGAGTAGTTTACTTAGCTAGGGTGAGGGGGAAGTATGCATGATTGATAGATTGTTGTTAATTTTGGGATTTTGATTTATTGATTGTTGTGATTAAAGTGATTGATGGATTTGTGCATGTGTTTGGTTTGATAGGAGTAGCTAACCTAGTTTTCCATGCTAGATTGCATTGTTGATCCTAATGACATAACCACTTGATTTAGGATTTTCAATTATCAATTGGTTTGAATTGTGATTCTACTAGTTAGTCATTCGTAGTGAAAGCTAGCTTTGACAATTAGATGATAGCCTTTTGAACTCTTTGATTGCATTTGCCATTAGTCTTTGCAATGTTCTTCTAATTCAATTTTCCCCAAATTAGCGAATCTATCATGATTGTATGCAGAACCTAACCCCTAGCATTTTAGTATTTGATATATCCTTGAATTCTTGAGTTTGTTAGCTTGGTTCAATCACAATCTTACTCCCCTTGCTTCGAAGTAGCTTAACGTTGGACTTTAGCATTGGACTCCCCCATTCCTCGTGGATCTACTTGGACTTGCCCCTATACTAGGTGTAGGTTTGATTCTATAAATTTTGTTGACATTGGTAAGCTAGCCCAACGACCTAGTTTCCACTCTTTGTCAGTGAATGGGTCCTGCGTGGTCAGAATTTTGCCGGAAAACAAGCTAAGGTAGTAAAACTTAGAGATTCTTCTTCTTCTTCTTCTTAATCCCATAAGTGGGGTCGGCTACATTTCTTGAACGCCTTAATCCCATAAGTGGGGTCGGCTACATGAACCAACATGAGGACTTCTCAGGAGGTTGTTGAAATCAATCATTGTGGCTCATGTCAAGCGTAATATACTAGAAAAAAAAATTTTGTACTAAAAAAAATTATAAGGTAGTAAATACTAAAGAGTAATATTTAAAAGGTTCTTAAAATCAAACCATCCTATATTTTATATCAAGTGTAGTCTATTTTTTCAAATTTGTTGTTCATCCAATATATTTGTTACATTTCCCAAGGCTCCCAATTAAAAAATAATTGTAATCCACAAACACCCCAAATAAATCATTAGAATTCCTTGTATATAAGGATAAGCAAGAGCAAATAACACCTACAATGGAAAATATATAACAAATGCACTGAAACAGTTGTTGCTAACATATAACAAATGTTAGTACTTTCAAGACGAAGATTTGATTTTGAGGACATGGTAAGCGTAAGGAGGAGAAGTGGTGGCGCAATGCTTCTATGACAATCATGTGGTCTAAGTGGCTGGAGAAGAATTCAAGGATATTTTTAGAAGTCTCTTTGTCTTTTCAAAAGCCACTTATTTAGCTTTGTTATTAGATAAGACGGCTGGGGTTTTTAAAAACGGGGCAGATTTAAAAACACTATGAGTACCTTAATATGTGCAATTTTACCTCCATCTATGTTAATAATCTTAATATGCAATTTTAGTTCTAATGAGTACCTTAATCTCATATCCTCGAAGACGCTTCATAGTCAAGTTTTGTGCAGAAATCTGTAACAAATAGAAACAAGAAGTTATTTAACAATTCAGTTGAATTAGCACCCTCCTAAACATAGTATTATTTAAATAAAATACTACCTCCATTTCCTATTATTTGCAACTTTGATGGGCACTCATACTCCTAGGCAAAATTTGTTTGTGAGTTTAAGATAGAGAGAGAAACATAGGGATGTGTGATGAGGAGAGAGAAATAAATATTTGATGCAAATATGTGTAGCATCCATTTTTAGCAAAAATTGCAAAAAATATGAAACGGAGGTAGTAAATAAGATCTATTAGCAAAAGATATACATAAGGATGAAGAATCAATCTAACCAGTAGTACAAAAAAGGGACATATTTACATGAACAGAGCCTTTCAATTCTAGTTACCACATTAGCAAGACACTAAAATCCTACTTGCTCTCAGAGATTAAAGGAATAAAACACAAAAAGAATTGTTGTGACTTCGGTCCCTCGTAAACCTATCAAGTGGGCAGGTCATGCCGGGTTCAAGTAGCTTATTTTGGGATCAGGTCCAGCATGCCGGCAACATTCACTCCTCGGCAGGCAGTCGATAGGACACCGACAAGACCAACTCACTATTTCGAAATCACAGAAATATAAAAGGCAGAAAAGTGAGAGACGTGAGACTAAGACAGTGAAAATGGTTTTATAATCGGGTCACTTTAAGTCACAATGGGTAGAAAATCTTCTTTTTTTCTACTTATGATTATCAAAAGTAAGATTTTCAATCAACCGCAGTGCTGCCTAGTGCCTACACATGATTGATTTTTACAAGTGGTGGAGAAAAGTGATAACACGCCAAGCATTTGAGAACTTTTCACCTATTTTAGATGTTTTACAATCAATGTATAAAAAGTGCTCATAAGTCACGCCTAGGCTGCTTTATCTCGCTAGGCTATAAGGGTAAAGGGTTTTTTTGCTCTAGGTGAGACACATACAAAAACGAGCACCAAAGGCGACACACAAGGTGCACTTCACTCAAAATTTTGAAATGTCTACATAATGTGCCTAACTTTAAAGAGGCCCACGAAACCCACCTTTTTATGCATTGCTTGAATTGAGGAGAAACATGTTAGGGTGTGTTATCTTCACCTTATTGGACTGAATGTGACTTGACTTGTTGTTGTTGGATTAGCCACGTATATCGGTTATGCACTTATGCTTAATCTTGTAATTTACCATGGGTTATTTAGATAGTTTTTCAAATCAATCAATCAATTAAAGCCTTAATCCAATAAGTGGGGTCGGCTACATGAACCAAAAGTGATTATTCCGTATAATCATCCACAAAAATCTTCCTCTCCATCCCTTACGATCAAATACCTAATCTCATGCAAATTCATATGTTCATATCCTTCCTAACTCCTTCCAATCAAGTCATTTTCGATCTACCTCTACCTCGTTTAACCTCTACATGATCCCACTCTTCCACTCTTCGTACCGGTGCACCCTGGGTCTCCGTCTTACATGCCCAAACCAAATGCTGACAATTTTCTTGCAATGCCTTCGACACCCACTTTCTTGCGAATACCTTAATTTCATATTCTATCTTTTAGAGTGTTCTCGCACCCATTTTAGGATGCGCATTCCCATAATTTCCATCTATTTAATGTGCTCCTAAGAAACCAAATATTCTGTACCATAGAGAAACACTGGTCTTATGGCAGTCATATTGAATTTCCCCTTCAACTGTAAGGGAATGATTCGGTCATATAAGACTCCCGTGGCCGTTCTCCATTTAAGCCAACCCGACTTAATCCAATGGACCACGTCTTCATCAATGTTACCACTCTTCCGTATGATGATTGACCCAAGATATTTAAAATACTAACTCATGGTCAAGTCCTTTCCATCCAAACTCACTACATCATTGCTTGTCCCCCTTTGTGTACCAAAGCGGCATACCAAATATTCAGTCTTTCTCTGATTTAGCTTAAACCCTCTAGATTCCAACTATGTTACATTGACACGGGTACGGGTATCCGATATTGGTACGGATCCGAGTGTCCGATACGTCATTTTCAAAAATTTAGGACACGGGGACACCGTCTTAACTTTGGACTCGGGTACGGATACGGCAATAAAAGAGAAAAAAAAAGGGATAACCGTGGCAAGTCCCAAAAAAAATGTTAACAAGTTTTATTTTAAAATACACTATTAGACTTTATGATGTAGTATTGTTTACCTAATCTAAAGATGTCCTGCCAAATTTAATGAAAAAATATAAAGTACTCTTATCTATATTGTACAAGCTTTAAAAAGCATAGTGTAATGGACTACACCCTCACACCAAATATTCAGACAATAATAATAAGTAGAACACACAAAATAGGCAGCAGCAAGATTGATTGATTGAAATAACTAAGTAGCTTGAGGCTACAACTCTCCAAGGCAATATCTTTAGGATACAAATCTCAAATTCAAAATGTCTAATCTCATAACCTTCACAGCTATTCTCTTCTTAATTTATACACAAGGAGGTACACAACTAGCTGTTACTACTACTCTTGTCCATACTCTCACAATGCTGCTTGCCATGGTTACACTACTTGCTGCTGTACTGCTGCTCTTCAGAGTTTAATTGTTTTTGTCCTCATCTGACAAGCCTTCATCCCCTGCTTTCACCTTTTCCCTCCTCTTGTAGAACCTGGTGATTGGCGGCTTTGGGCCCTGGCCTGGTGCATTACATCACTCCCCCGCATGACCTCCACCTTGTCCTCAAGGTGGAAGGAAGGAAAGCGCTGACTGATGGCTATCCCTTCCTCCCAGGTTTGCTTCAAATGCTTGCAGCCCCTTCCATTTGATCAAGACCTCAACCCCCTTCGCTGTCTCTCTAAGATCCAGTAATTCTTCCGGCTCTGCCACCATTTCCAACTCAGCAGTCAATTGAGTTGGCACCGTGGGGTATACCACATTGCTCCTGACCATTTTCTTAAGTTGAGATACGTGAAAACAGGGTGAATTTTGCATTCAGGTGGCAAAGCCAGCTTATATGCCACCTTTCCTATGCGCTGGATGACTCAAAACGGCCCATAGAACCTCGATGCTAGCTTCTCATAAGGTCTCTTTGCCAAGAAGCGCTGCTTGTAAGGCTGAAGCTTCATATAAACCTCATCCCCAACATCGAATTACTGATTAGTTCTCCTCAGATCGGCATTGGCTTTCATGATTTGCTGTAATCTCATCAAATTCACCTGAAGCTCATCCAGGACCCAATCTCTCTCTTTTAGCCACTCATCTGGGTTGTCTACCGCCGTCTGCACGGCCAACCCTCCAAAGCTTGGGTGGGTCTCGCCCATAGACTACCTTAAAAGGAGTCATCTTGGTAGAGGTTTGGGGAGAAGTATTATAGGAATTCTCAGCCCATGCCAACAAATTTGCCCATGATTTTGGTTGCTCCGAGGTGAAGCAACGCAAGTACGTTTCTAAACACTTGTTTACAATCTCAGTTTGGCCGACAGTTTGAGGGTGGTACGCCGTACTCCTCTTCAATTGAGTTCCCTGAAGGCGAAATAACTCCTTCCAAAAATTGCTCATAAGCACCCGATGTAACATCCCGTATTTTCGAACCACTATTTAAACCTAATTTCTAATTTAAATCTCAATTTCTAAATTGAAATGTTAATTTAATTATTATAATTATTATTTTGATTAAAGGGTCATCCCAAGCTTTTGAAAACCCTAATTATGATATTTTGACAAAGTAATTGAAAGTAATTATTTAAAAGGTTTTATATTTTAGCTTTAATAATTTCAATTATATTTGATTTGTCTGAATTGATATTATGCTTAAAGGGTGATTCCTCAAGCTTAAGCGTCAATTCAGTAAGTGTTACACTTAAATTGTATTTTTGATATTTAACCTATTAAAATTGATACGGGTCATCATGGGTGATTCCTTGACTAAAGTGCCAATTTGATAGGTATGAAATGATTTTATGGTTCTTAAGACGTTTAACGTTCAATTGTATCAATATCGATAAATAAAGTTGTATTGGGTGATTCCATCAACTCGTTTATCAAATTGATATTGTTTAATCCTTATATTTATAAAACTCATTATAATGTCCTTTTAATAATTAGGTCATTATAAATGAATAATATTATTGGTTTCACATTTCGTTTTTATGTTGCTTTTGTGTAAAAATGAACTTTATATATATTTTTGTATCGTGATTTAAATTATTGTTTTCATTATTATTACTTTAATTATAATTGAGATATCAATAATATAATCTATATTATCGTTTTTAAACGCGTTTCAAAATGCCTCCCGTTATATTCCTTTCTTAGTCTAGTTTCGGGCCAACTAGAATTTGTTTATGGGTCGGGTTTTGCATTAGAACTTTAATGACAAAATAGATTAAGATAGACTTGTTTATTAGCTTCCTTAATCCCATTCTTAAGCATAAATTAATCATTCAATTAAGCTCATTAGTGTAGCTTAAGTTAGGGGTTTGCATGAGAGCTAATTTAGCCCATTTTCTCCCCTCTCTTACAGCAGCCTTAAGGCTGATTTATTGATCAGTTTTTAAAGCCTAAAACTCCCTAATTACTCATGTTATAACATCCCTTTACTCCTCTCAAGTGGCTGTCCAAGACTCTTCTCCTCCCCCTCTTTTGAACGTACAAAATAAGATGGATGAGCGTTCTTTTTGGCTGCTCACATCTCATCGGTTTCTCTACTTTCCCTCAAATTTTTCATGCAACGTCAAGGCTCAAAGCAAGGGGTTTTCGAGGGTTTCTTGCTACTATTTGCTGCAGCTAATTCGTGCACCAATCTCAGTCCATCATCATAAAAAAAATGAAGGCAATCAAGGTTAGCAAGGGCACGGTATTGGAGCACTTGGAGGGATTCAAATTACAATTTTTTCCCCCTTCTTATTCTGGTTTTTCTTGTCTCCTAATCAAAGGTAACTAGCCTTTCTCCTTTAGGTTAGAATTAAGGGATTTTGGGGTTGGATTGATGGGTGGAAACGTGACTAG